TACGATATTTTATCTCCAATAATTATATAATTATCTTAAAGATTTCATGAAACATCCTGCCAAATACACTGCCTCGGCCGCAAGCGGCGTCGGTTGTTATTTATCTTTTCCAATAAACACAACACCTCACGCCTCGGATATACAATAATTATTCATATGATGTTATATTCTAAGGGTTTTATCTGCAACAACAATAAAATTGTCTTAAAGATTTCATGAAACAGTGTCAAATACACTGCCTCGGCCGCAAGCGGCCTCGGTTATTATTTATCTCCATCAAGAAATTCAATATCTTCCGCCTCGAATATGCAATTATTATTTATATTCTAAGTCTACGATATTTTATCTCCAACAACAATAAAATTATCTTAAACGTTTCATGATACATTGTCAAATACACTGCCTCGGCCGCAAGCGGCCTCGATTATTATTTATCTCTGCTAAGAATTACAATATCTCGCGCCTCGAATATACAGTAGTAATTTATATTTTAAGGGTACGATATTTTTTCTCCAACAACAATATAATTATGTTAAATATTTCATGATACACTGTCAAATACACTGCCTCGGCCGCAAGCGGCCTCGGTTGTTGTATATCTCTTCCAATAAACACAATACCACAATAATTATGTATATGTACTGTCAAATACACTGCCTTGGCCGTAAGTAGCCTCGGTTATTATTTATCTCTGCCAAGAAATACAATATCTCGCGCCTAGAATATACAGGGTGTCAGATAAAAAACGCCCCAAGCTGTAACTCTGTCATTTACATTCCGATTTTCATGAGGGAGGCATCAAATAAATTTTTTCCAATGCCACCTTTAGTTCTAAGCAATTATTAGCTTTTGTTTTTCAAATTGCTCCATATAGTTTTCTTCACGTCATAGGATAGAGATTGTTTTTCTGAATCCATTGATGTACAATACATCCATTTTTAATGTAATTTTAGCAGAGAAAAGACACCTGTATATACCGGTTGTCACACAAGAACGACGCAAGCTGTAACTCTGTCATTTACCTTTCGATTTTTATGAGAGAGGTATCAAATGAAATGGTTTGACGAATACTATGATTCATGCTACAAATAAATTCAATTTCAAGCGATTATCATCTTTTGATTTTCAAATTGCTCGGTATGTTTTTCTTCACGTTATTGGATAGAGATTTTTTTTCTGAACCCATTGCTGTACAATAATAAGTCCTGTTAGATTTTACTGTCCTTGGTTGTAAATGATTATTTTTTCCCATGGCACACTACAGTATAACACAAGTGACTTTAAGAGAATGTTCGGAAACTATTTTAATGTTTTTCTCTATTTCAATTACAATTAATGTTGATGTATTGTACATTAACGGATTCAGAAAAAAAAATCTGTATCCAATAACGTGAAGAAAAACATACCGAGCAATTTGAGAATCAAAAGTTAATAATCGCTTGAAATTGAAGATGGCGTTGGTAAATGTTTATTTGTAGCATGAATCATAATATTCATGAAACCTTTAAAATTAAGCCTTAAATTAAATTTAAACCTCAATAAAATTATCTTAAAGATTTCATGAAACACTGTTAAATACACTGCCTCGGCCGCAAGCGGCCTCGGTTATTATTTATCTCTGCCAAGAAATACAATATCTCGCGCCTCGAATATACAATAGTTGTTTATATTCTACGAGTACGATATTTTATCTCCAATAACAATAAAATTATCTGAAAGATTTCATGATATACTGTCAAATACACTGCCTCGGCCGCAAGCAGCCTCGGTTATTATTTATCTCTGCCAAGAAATACAACATCTCGCACCTCAAATATACAATAGTTATTTATATTCTAAGGGTACGATATTTTATCTCCAACAACAATAAAATTGTCTTATAGATTTCATGATACACTGTCAAATACACTGTCTCGGCCGCAAGCGGCCTCGGTTATTATTTATCTCCACCAAGAAATTCAATATGTTCCGCCTCGAATATGCAATTATTATTTATATTCTAAGTCTACGATATTTTATCTCCAACAACGATATAATTATCTTAAAGATTTCATGAAACACTGTCAAATACACTGCCTCGGCCGCAAGCGGCCTCGGTTATTATTTATCTCCACCAAGAAATTCAATATGTTCCGCCTCGAATATGCAATTATTATTTATATTCTAAGTCTACGATATTTTATCTCCAACAACTATGTAATTATTTTAAAGATTTCATGAAACATCCTGTCAAATACACTGCCTCGGCCGCAAGCGGCTTCGGTTATTATTTATCTCCGCCAAGAAATTTAATATCTTGCGCCTCGAATATGCAATTATTATTTATATTCTAAGTCTACGATATTTTATCTCCAAGAACGATATAATTATCTTAAAGATTTCATGAAACATCCTATCAAATACACTGTCTCTGCCGCAAGCGGCGTCGGTTGTTGTTTATCTTTTCCAATAAACACAACACCTCACGCCTCGGATATACAATAATTATTCATGATATTATATTCTAAGGGTTTTATCTCCAACAACAATAAAATTGTCTTAAGGATTTCATGAAACACTGTCAAATATACTGCCTCGGCCGCAAGCGGCTTCGGTTATTATATATCTCCGCCAAGAAATTTAATATCTTGCGCCTCGAATATGCAATTATTATTTATATTCTAAGTCTACGATATTTTATCTCCAACAACTATATAATTATCTTAAGGATTTCATGAAACACTATCAAATACACTGCCTCGGCTACAAGCAGCTTTGGTTATTATTTATCTCTGCCAAGAAATACAATATCTCGCACCTCTGGTATACAACAGTTATCTTTAGTCAAACAAGATTAAATATAGTAATTTAATTTCCAAGTTTCGAATTATTACTTTAAAGCTTTTTTTACCAGTGTTAAATACACTGCCTCGGCCGCCAGCGGCATCGGATTAATAGGGCAAAGTTATTATTTTTAACCCTTTGTGTCCCAAGAAGTCAAAAATTTTGAAACTTTGTGGCAGAATTAAAACGCTATCAAAATACATTCAGTAGAGGCCTTTGGAATCAATTTTAGCAAAATATGCAATCCCCCCATTCCAGGGGGATAATGGTACTTGAGAGTACCGTCAAGCATTAAAATATATTTTCAGTATACAAAAACAGTTCTTTCTTTCATTACAACATAAATAAACATTGCACAAAGTACATTTTGAGTGGGGTCTAGCTTTGGCAGAACAATTTTGGCAACTTCCTCTTTCTTTTGAACTTACGCTACAACATTTTCGTGGACGCAGTAAATTTGAATATTTATTTATCAGAAATTATCAAAATCTGATAGAATATCGAGAAAAAACATATTGAGCAAAAACTAACATTTTCGCATAATCTAAGTGTCAAAAAAGATACTAATTTAAAAATTCCTGGAAGCCGTATTCATTGAAATTAAGGAATGAGACTTATTCTAAATTAAAGCTCAAAGCTTTCTCTTTAAAATGATGTATAATAATTGTTGGGTTGGATTGGAAAAATATTGAGAAAAAAAATGTTGAAACAAAACTTACATTTTCGTATAACCTAAAAGTGTCAAAAAAGATGCTAATTTAAAAATTCCTGGAAGCCGTATTTATTGAAATTAAGGAATGAGACTTATTCTAAATTAAAGCTCAAAGCTTTCTCTTTAAAATGATGTATAATAATTGTTGGGTTGGATTGGAAAAATATTGAGAAAAAAAATGTTGAAACAAAACTTACATTTTCGTATAACCTAAAAGTGTCAAAAAAGATGCTAATTTAAAAATTCCTGGAAGCCGTATTTATTGAAATTAAGGAATGAGACTTATTCTAAATTAAAGCTCAAAGCTTTCTCTTTAAAATGATGTATAATAATTGTTGGGTTGGATTGGAAAAATATTGAGAAAAAAAATGTTGAAACAAAACTTACATTTTCGTATAACCTAAAAGTGTCAAAAAAGATGCTAATTTAAAAATTCCTGGAAGCCGTATTTATTGAAATTAAGGAATGAAACTTATTTTAAATTAAAGCTCAAAGCTTTCTCTTTAAAATGATGTATAATAATTGTTGGGTTGGACTGGAAAAACATTGAGAAAAAAAATGTTGAAATAAAACTTACATTTTCATATAACCTAAAAGTGTCAAAAAAGATGCTAATTTAAAAATTCCTGGAAGCCGTATTTATTGAAATTAAGGAATGAGACTTATTTTAAATTAAAGCTCAATGCTTTCTTTTTAAAATGATCTGTAATAATCACACCTAATAACCATTTATCAAAGAAATACCTTTTTGAACAACAAAATTCAACAAGACCACTTTTCACTAAACTTCTAACTTCACATCTGGATGAATAAGTTTAAATAGGTATACCTAAAAACCCTACAGTGCGGATTGTGTCATTTTTTATACAGATTCTTTCTTGTATAGACTACAGTTTAAAACGAGTGTTTGAAACTAGCAGTACTTTAAAGTACCGTCGGGACACAAAGGGTTAAACCAAATTTCATTCGATATAGTATTATTAATCCTAATGTCTCGACCTTAGCTAAAATTAAAACAACAATTTATGCACTGTCTTAACTACATTTTGATCAATACTTGAGTACAATTATTGTACTATTTGAAGCGCCTCGGCCGCAAGCGACCTTGGCTTAACTTAGTAAAGAGACTTAATTCAATATGCGTTAACCGGATTTGACACAATATGGTATTACTTTCATTCCATCCTATATTATCTTTATTTACGAGATTTAATGTCATTTACAAAATTTTTTGAGCTACTTATTTTTCTTTCATTAATTTAGTCTTTATTATAAAACATAATATTTTATATAATTAAAATAATATTAATATTAATTGCGATTAGTAACATTTTTTTGTAATTATTACATTAAAAATTCTTAATTTTTTCATGTTATAAATTTAATAACTAAGTGTACAATAACTTAACGTTCATTAGTGTACATTAAAATTTCCTGTTTTACCGACTTTAATCTGTCAAAGTCAACAACAAAACATGAACAAAAAGCAAGGTTATTCAAACGTCATAAACGATAAAAAAATGCACTAAACGAGTGGGGTTCGAGTTTAAAAGGCTTTGCGCTGCTAAAATCTTCAACGTTAAATTTGTGATTTCACGAAATACTCGATAATAATGCAAGAAAAATTGACGATAAACCCGAAATATTTACCAATTTCCTTCAACGATGAGTAAGTTACTAATTTTCTTTAATTACTCTTAATTCATCAATTAATCCCGCTTTAAATTGTAGATTAAAAAGGAAAAACAACAAAAACACTTTTATCACAATAATTTTAGGGTTGATATTAACGATTTTGGTCTCAATCTTAATCGCAATTTACATTTTCATCATTTCCCCAGCTTTAAGTTATCATTCTTGTTATAATTTTGGATGTTTTAATCCCCACCGAGCTGAGTTATATGCAAAAGTACCTGAAGATAATATCACAATACCCAAAATACTTATCAAAAAATTGGATTTAAAAAGAGATAATTTCAGATTAGTTTGTTATTATAACCTTCCAGCTGATGAGCATTCAAATGAGCTTCAAATAAACGATTTAGACCCAAATTTATGCACACATTTAAATGTTGGATTTGCATCCATAGAGAATAACACAATTAATTTTACAAAAACAAATATAGAAATGACTCAAAGAATTATTAATGATTTGAAAGGTGTTAATAAAGATTTGAAAGTTTTATTGAGTATTGGTGGAAGTGGTTCTTCGGGGTTTAATGAAATGGTTAAAAATCATACTACAAGGAAAATGTGAGGTTTTAAATTTATTAATTTGTAATTTTATCTCATTTTTGTTATTTTTAGTTTCATTCAATCGACTTTGAATTATATTAAAAGTTATAAACTCGATGGGATCGATTTAGATTGGGAATTTCCCAATGAAATTGGAATAAATGTAAAGGAGAGAACGCATTTTAGCCAATTGCTTCATGAAATTCGCAAAGAAATTGACCGGCAAAAGAAACACAAATTTTTGTTGACTTTGGCGGTTGCTGCTCCGTATTTTGTGGCTTTAAACGCTTATGATATTGGTTTTATTAATGATCAGGTTGATTTTGTGAATGTGATGACGTATGATTTTCATTTTTATACCAAATTTACGCCGTTTACCGGAATTAATTCGCCACTTTACTCTTTGCCACATGATGTGGGGATTTTTGGGACTTTAAATATTAATTATTCGATTAATTTTTGGGTTAGTCAAGGTATGGATAAAGATAAAGTGGTTGTTGGGTTGCCTACTTATGGACACACTTATAAGTAAGGTTATAGAATTAATTATTTCTTTGTTTAATAGCACTACAAATTTTAATCAATTTTTTCCTCGCGATTTCAATATTTTTTTATAATGTAGAATGTTGAGGTGATTCTGAAACTGTCTTCAGTTTTTCTCCATCACATCCAGTTTTTGAGATATCACCAAAAATGTTGAAAATCATATACAGGGTGAGTTATTTATATCCCGGCGCGGCGCACAGAGGCGAATTTTTTAAAAATCACGGCCAAAATTGGAAAATTTTAAGGAATAAGATTGAAATTGCAATTATTGCTATTTAATTAAGTAAACCCCAAGGTGCCTTGAAACACTTTATTTATAATTATTGTAACAATCGCCGCCAAAATATTATAGTTGTCAATTGATTGTTTAGTGAACAGTTATCACCTAGATAAAACGTCGGTAAAAATTGTGGTTTTTAATTAATTTTTTCCTTTACACTTCTTTTATACAGGGTGATTCATAAGTAATGGGCCAAATTGTAAATGTACGTTCAGGAGGCCAAAATAATAATATTTTCATTAACAATAATGGGTCTTAGTCTGCTCCTTACTGAGATACAGGATGTTAAAGCGAANTAATTTTTGGGTTAGTCAAGGTATGGATAAAGATAAAGTGGTTGTTGGGTTGCCTACTTATGGACACACTTATAAGTAAGCTTATAGAATTAAGTATTTCTTTGTTTAATAGCACTACAAATTTTAATCAATTTTTTCCTCGCGATTTCGATTTTTTTTATAACGTAGAATGTTGAGGTGATTCTGAAACTGTCTTCAGTTTTTCTCCATCACCTCCAGTTTTTGAGATATCACCAAAAACGTTGAAAATCATATACAGGGTGGTGAGTTATTTATATCCCAGCGGTCGATAGTTACTAAACCATTTGAAAAACAAAAAAATATTTTATGCAAAAGTTGTTTAAATTATTTTCACTTATACAGGATGTTCCATTATCTATCTCCCCACGTAAATTTATTTAAATGGAACACCCTGTATATTTTATCATATTATGAATACAACTAAACACAGCGTTCATAGTTCCTGATAGTGAAAATTGCAAAATTCGAGAAAATTGTCGATAATTTGAAAAATATATTTATTAAATATACAGGGTGTATCTGAATGACATGCCCAAACTTCATGGGGTGATTCTTTAGGCAATTTTAAGGGTACTTTAATATATGAACCATGGGCGACTTCGGCTCCCCTAAGGAGCTACACCTCTCCAAAAATAGCGGAAAATTTTGGTTTAATTTCTTTTTCTCAAAAACCATAAACGCTAGTAAAATGAAATTTGGGGAATATGTTGAACTCATAATAGGGCACGTTTTGACCCTATTTGCACTACCCTTCCTACCCTTCTAAACTACTAAACGTAATCACCCCCTTTACATTTTTGCTAACATTTTTTTATGCAGATGATTAAAGCCGGGTTTATACAGAGGATTTAGCTGTAAATTTAAATTTAAAAATTTAGCTGTAACAGTTAAATGTTTTGAAACCCCATGTTTCGTTTATACAAAGCTGTAAGATTTAGCTGTAAACATAAAGTCGGTCAACTTTTCTAAATTTACAGCGTCACACATGCGCAAGACGACCTCAATCAGCTGTATCCAATGATCGGCCGGTGTTAATAGCGCGTTATAACTTAACCTCAACAAAATGAGTGAATTCGATGGAAAATTAATTAAAATTGTTGAGAACTACCGATATATTTACGATAAAAATTTTTCTGAACATAAAGATAAGATATTGGTAGAAAATGGCAATTCAAAAACCAGTAATATTTTGTATCTTGAGGTTGCGATTCTGTAAATCTTAAATTCTGTATAAATCAATTTTTTTCTTAAAGCTAAATAAAATCCTTAAATCTAAATCTTTAAATTTAAATTTACAGCTAAATTCTGTATAAACCCGGCATAATACATTACAAAAATTTTACATACAGTTGTTCACAAAATTGAGTATATAGCGGAATGGGAGATAGATAATTGTGAAAATTTCAAATAATTATTAATTTATTTTAACGTTTGTGATATACAGGGTGTCACACAAGAACGCCGCAAGCTGTAACTCTGTCATTTACTTTCCGATTTTCATGAACGAGGTATCAAATGAAATGGTTTGATGAATGCTATGATTCATGCTACAAATAAATGCCCTCTTCAATTTCATGCGATTATCTAGTTTTGATTTTCAAATTGCGCGGTATGTTTTTCTTCACGTTATTGAATAGAGAATTTTTTCTGAACCCATTGATCTACAATACATTAACATTAATTGTAATTTTAGCAGAGAAAAACTATTAAAGCATTTTCCGAACATTGTCTTAGGGCCGGTTGTACCCAAGGTTTATACAGGGTGTATCTGAATGACTGCAACAAACTTCAAGGGGTGATTCTTTAGTGAATTTTAAGGGTACTTTCATATATGAACCATAGGCGAGTTCGGCTCCCCTAAGGAGCTACACCCAAATTTGGGGAATATGTTTAACTCATAATAGGGCACGTTTTGACCCTATTTGTACTTTCAACCTACTCTTCTAAGTTACTAAACATAACCATCCCCGTTCAATTTTGGTCTAGATTTTTCTTATGACGGTGATAAATACATTAGAAATATTTTATTTAGATAGATGAAAATATTCTAAAACTTTTTTGCCTCTCTGATGTTCTTCGAAAAGTTAATAGTTTCTGAGAAAAAAATTAATTAAGCAAACACTAACTGTTAAGCTGTAGCGTTGTTAATCGAAAGTTGGAATGAATTTTTAAAGAAAAAATCTTANTTTGATTTATGTTAGGACAAGAATGAATCAGTTTACTTAACAATAAAATGTTTTAAACTATTCATTAAACGTAAAAGCTCATTGACGTTTCATAATTCATATGGCGCATGTGGCGACATCTACGAGTTAACTCAAATCCTCTCACACATTATTGTTTACCCTTACAAAAACTATAAGTCAACTATGAGTCATTATGTAGAAAAGTAGCTGATCTATTAACAAAAATCTATTTTATTTTTTTCGCTTTAACATCCTGTATCTCAGTAAGGAGCAGACTAAGACCCATTATTGTTAATGAAAATATTATTATTTTGGCCTCCTGAACGTACATTTACAATTTGGCCCATTACTTATGAATCACCCTGTATATTCCGAAAATTTATTATAGAACCTATTGCTGGTGGTAAATAGAATTGTATAATATACAGAATAAACAATTCGGTTATTAGTTTTTTTGTAATATTGTTTGATTAGATCATATGTTTAAATTGAAAAAATAATTTATTTTAGGATATTTAGATGGGCAAAAAATAAATTGTTTAACATTGTTTAAAAGTAATATTGTATACGTGTTGTAGTACAAGGCCTACTATTGTAGATTTTGCTAGAAATTCTTGCGGTATTTTGCGGTTTAACCTTAAAATAAATTTTTATTATAGTGGGTGTATAAAGTTCGGAAAAAAAATCATAATAATTATGATTTTCAGAATTATTCTGCTATGTGCTGTTTGTTTGGGGAGCGCATTTGCAGTTAGAAAAGAAACATAAAGGGACACTTTTTCACCATTAAATTGATAATATAGGGTGTCCACAAAAAAGATTCTAACCAAAATTGCAATTTATTTTCTGAAACACTAATTAATTTTAGTATGAGATGTTAGCGTTCTAAAGTTAATAATTTTCTAGAAAGAAATTAAAAAATTGAATTGACACACTGAGTTTTCGGTAACATATTAAAAGTTGTTATTGTGTCAATTTAATGTATTATTTGCAAGATTTTTTCCTTGAAAATTATTAACCGTAAGTCTTATACAGGTTGGTCCGTTACTAATGGAACACAGAGCAACAGTGAATTCCTTACATTAAATTATTACAATTTAACCCAATTTATCTTAGTCTACTTATTAATAATAACGAAGATACAGATGGGTAAAGATTATACTTTATTTTCGTTTTTCTTTAATAATTTTCACTGTCAATACTAATAGCATTAATACTCTAGTATTAATGCCAATACTCTAGTATTAATGCCATTTGACGGTGTTAGTCTAGTGTTTGACGAAATAAAATCATTTTCAACGCCAGTTAATGTTTACTGAGCATAATTAAATTTTACAAAGTGCCTTATGTCAACTTTAAAGGAGTTTTTTTAAGGCAGGCAGTGCCATCTGAAAGATAAATCAAAACTAATACCAAATTATTATTTATCGTCTTAAAAAATGGTAATGCACCAATATTCATGGTCATAATGCAAGAGAAAACGAAATATTTAAAGAAACGCGAAAATAAAGTATTAACTTTAATCATCTCTAGTTTCGTTATTATTAACAATTGGACTAACATAAATTGGGTTAAATCGTAACAATGTAATGTAAAGAATTCACCGATCCTCTGTGTCCCAGTAGTAACGGACCACCCTATATATAAAAATATAGGTAGATACAATTAAATAAAATCGCAGTATATTAAATATTTCATCCTTGTTAATTGTATAGATATTTTTTAATTTCCACCAATTTTGAAGTAAAAAATTGACAAAAATATCTTTTTGGCCAAGATTTTTAACTAATTCGCTTCTGTGCGGCGGTCGATAGTTACTAAACCGTTCGAAAAACAAAAAAATATTTTATACAAAAGTTGTTTGACTCATCACATGAAATTATTTAAACAATTCGAAACAAATTTCAAAAATTTATTTCTCGAAAACTAAAAGCGATTTTTCCAAACGGCTGTTGCATTAAAAAGAGGATACTTTAATTAATAATCGAAAGTGATAACAGCGACAGTTCTGTTACAAATGAATGTGATGATGAATTACAAGCAAAGAGAAGAAAACTAGACGAAACTGCAACAAGGGATTTTATACAGGTGGAATCACATAAGAACCGACATAGAGCAGGGACATGTAGAGGACAATAAAATAAGGTGATTTAACGCAACTCTTATACAGGGTGTCCCGAAACTCAACGTCAAGCGGGCACCGGGTGAGAGGCCAACCCATACCTGTTCTGGTAAAAATGAGAAAAAAATTCCATGTCTTTTAGATAAGTGATAATAGACATACTTTTGAAAATGTTAAAATCGGTCCCGTACATCATATCTTTAGGTACTACGGTCAGAAATGTTCGCAATTTAATAGTGATTTTTTTAAATAATCTATTCCTTGTGAACCATGCTACAGTAGAAGTCACAAATCAAACAACAAAAGTCGTAAGTTTTGCAAAAAAATATATTAATTTGATTGAGTTAAGGTTGAAAGAATTTATGTCTATCAAGTTTGACACACGATTTCTAAAAAAATGAGTAGTACAACACCCTTGGCAAGTAATTTTAAAAGATGGCCTGTTTAGTCAAGTTTCCAAAATGGTACAACACTTGCTATTTTTCTTGTCATAAAAAATATTGCCTGTTTTTCTTCAAAAAACGCGTTATTTAAAAAATTCTTACTTTCGTATGTTATTTACATTTACTTTTTATTTCCTCTTAACTTTGTTAGAAGATGTGCCAGTCAATATCTACGAACTACAAAATGTGGTTTCAACAAGATGGTTGCCCTTATGTCTTGCAAAAAGACTCTTTCAAATAAGGTTAATCTAAAGACAATTATTTGCCGTCGGCACTAATACAAGCTCTGCATCGTCACAGAAT